CTTTGCTCTCCACCTTGTTCTCAATAGCACCCAGCACCATGTGCCTGCCCTTCTCCTTCAGCTCGAGGTGCCTCCTCAGCTGTCGCCAGGAGCCCAGGGAGAAGTAGATAGAAAGAGACAGGGCCTAAGTTTCCAGACAACAGGGGCAAAGGGGAGCCAGGCCCTATGGTTGGCTGGAGGAAGGGGCATAGTGAGAGGTAGCTGGGCCAGGGGAGGAAATAGGACTGGATGGGGAGACCTGGTTTGTATCCTGGCTCTGCCCCTCTCCAGGCCTGTTTCCTCACCTATAAAATGAGAGTGATTGTGCCCCCCCCCCAAAACAGGCTGCTAAGAAGCCCCCAAGACAGAGCAATGCCCTTTGAATATCCTGCTCCCTAATCTTGGCTAGGACCCACTCTTTGGTCCTACCCCTGAGCAGGCAGGCAACAGCTGTCCTCTGTCTGTTCTACTCCCTGTCTAGAAAGTCTCCTCTCTTGCCTCTCATATCCCTCCTATAGGCTTCATTCTCAGAAAACAGAGTCTTGGGCAGATGGCCTCCCCTAAAGCCAGGCAAGGCCCATTTCTCCACTTGCCAATTTAGGAAGATGAAGTGAAGAGGACCATGACTCCCAGCACTATAGCTGCAAGAGCTGGCACCCAAAGAGGGTCTCGCCTCCAGCCTCCTGTCTAAGGGCTGCGGAGTAGCCACCTTCCCGAGTTGGGCGTACCCTTCATTGCTGGGACTGCTGCCCCGTCCAGCAATGGACGTACCTCATCGGCCATCTGGGTGAGGTCCCGCTTCATCGCATACGCATCTTCCCCATCTGCATAGTATTTGGGTTCCACTTCACTGATCCTGAAGGTAGGAAGAAGAACCAAACCTGGGGCAAATTCTGTGGTATCCCGGTTTCATATGCTAATTGAGTGGGTGTCATTTTCCCCTGAAGGACCCTTTTGGAGGCCTCAAGCCCATACTGAAGGAACTGTTTCCCAGAAGGCACATTTCTGAATAGCTTTCTCACTGCTCTCTCCAGCAAAGCCTAGCAGTAAGCAGCACCCATTACACTACCCGCCCTCAGGCCTGCTGCTGCTCCATCCCTAGCCTGACTAGCAAGAATCTGTTTCTGTGGTACCTTGTGAGATGAAGCACTGAATTCAGCCTTCTCCTTCCCTTAGCCCCCCCACCCCGACCCCAACATCATTTACTGAGCAAGTCAGTTCCTCTGCCCAGCAATAGCAATGAGAAAGAACCAGGACAGAGGGTGCTGCACCTGGGTGAGGGCAGTCATCCCCAGGCAGCAACTGAGGAGCAGCGTCCACACTGGGAGACGTGTGTGCATACTTGGGTGGCCCTGCCACTGGAAGAAGAGCTGGGCTCAATGACCTAAAAGACCCTGCCAGTCAAAGACATGGGAACTGTTGACTGAGCATTGGAAGCAATTCCACTAGAGGTATTTTTAAATGTGTTAAAGCTCCGTTCCTGGATCTAGGTGTTAAACCCAGTCTGGAGGCCACTTGTCCTGCCCAACAGTCTCTTCTCTTCACCTCCCTCCTTAAACTGAAACCGAGTGAGTCCCACTGGGCCCTCTGGGGGCAGCCCACCCCAGCTTCATTTTCAAGTAGCTTTTCGCCACCATCTATTGGGCACTGCCAGGTTCTCTCTCCCCACTAGGCATAAGAGACATCATGTCCTGAGCAGACCTGCCCTCACTCCCCAGGATAGCCAGAGCTCTAGGTATCTTTCTGCTCTTGCTGGTGTCCCTCCTTCCCTGCATCCTCCTTTCTTTGCCCTCAACCTGGATGCCTCTAGGCGCCTAGTCACCTAGAGTCATGCTTCTCAGCCTCTGCTCATGCCCCAGGCCCACTTCTCTTGACTTCCAAACTTGCACTAAGAAGCCTGAGCCAGCACCAAGCTATCCATCCCTCACCCAGCAAGACAGGCCAGACCCCACTTGTACAACAGGCAGCGAGCAGATCTCAGCAGGCAGGTGCCTTCTCCACAGCAGCTTAACAATCAACAGCCACCGTGAATGGAGAAGGCCTCCTGGCAATGTCTGGAGTCCACAGCTTCCTCCCCCTCGCTGTGCCCCCATTTCTGCCTGGAAGGTGGCTCAGCCCACCTCAGTCAACCGGATGAGGCAGACTTAGGATCAGCACTGTGAGCCTTAGAAAAATCTAGATGTACTTACTGAAAGTTGAGGGTGTTGGAATAGAGGTGCAGGGCGGCCCGGTTACTGCAGGAGAATAAGGCACTGCTGAGCTGCACCAACCTGGCCATATCCAGGTCCTGCCCCTCCTCCTGGCCCCTCCCACTAATCCTACTTCCCAGGTCTTCTCCAAAAGGCAGAGTACCCCGGAACCCCTGTCAAGATGGTATCTCCTCCTCCCCCTCCCCCACATGGCCCCTTGGCTCAGCTTGGCTTCCACCTCTTCCTGACATGCAGGGAGACGTATTTGGCATTGAAGTTCTCTATCATGGCTCGAGAGGCCTGGTCCATCAGCTTCTGAGCCAGGCCAAGGCGCCGGTGGGAACGCTTCACAGCCTGGTAGGAAAAGGATGGGTGGGAATGGGACCTTGCATGGCTGCCCCCAATCACCCCCCGACTTCCACCTCTGCCACAGCCTCAGTGAGGTCCACTCACCAGTGAGGTGATGTGACCATGGGGCACGTCATCTGGGTCTTCTTCCCTACAGGAGAAAGGAGAGAGCTAGAAAGGAACCTGGTACAGGCATACCCCGGGCACCCATGCACAGGAGCCGCACAAACTCCTTCAGGCTGGGTCTACAGCACCACAGACCCAGGCTGGGAAAGAGCTGGAAACCTCTCGGATCAGATCAGCCAATCCCTCCCCCCTCAAAACCCCATCCTGCACCCACGGATATGTGCAGTGTCAACACAATATTGCTCTGTGACTTAAGAAAGACAGAGCTGTCAAGCTACATTTCAGGGAGGAACCTTAAACATGTATCACTAAGTGAAGGAAGCCAGTCTGAAAAAGCTACAGACTATGTGATTCCAAGTATATAACATTCTGGAAAAGGCAAAACTTTGGAGATGGTAAAAAGATCAGTGGTTATCCAGTTAGTAGGGAGGGATGGATGTGATAAGGGTAAACACTCTTCAATTGTCCAAACCCAGAGAACTAAAGTAAACAAGGGAATTTGTGTGTGTGTATGGCAGGACTGGGGTTTGGACTCAGGACCTCATGCTTGCTAGGCAGGCACTCTACCACTTGAGCCACTCCTCCAGCCCTAAACAAGGGAATTCAATTAATAAAATACCAATGTTGGCTCCTCACTTGTAAGAAACTAATGTAACTTGTTCAAAATGTAACATCACACTAATGTTAACATGTATGTAGTACAGGAAATTCCAGAGTAGCAGTTATATGGAAACTGTATCTTCTGTAAACTTCAAACTGTTCTAAAAACAAATCTGTTGATTTTTACAAAAAAATCTACAGCAGCATCCACCAGACATGGGCGGTGGGGTCCACCCCGTCCAAAGTTTGCCTCCCACATCCCCTGTGCTTAGGCTTCTCTCTTCCTCCTTGTTGACTCACATTTTGGCCAGGACATACCCCACAATCTTCCCATTCTCATCCTCAGCAATGTAAGAGAGCTGGTGATAGAAGAAAAGGAAGTCAGAAAACAACCTCACGTCAGAGCAAGCTGGAGGAACTCACTGCAGGCCTCCTGCTGTGTGCCTGACAACCGGAAGCTGCTCAAGTGGTGAATTCTATGACAGCTCGTGACCTCCTGGTCAAGTGGTTCGGTTTCCCCCACACCACATTGTGCCCTGTCCTTGACCTAGAAGAGGGCAGACACAAGGTGGGAATCCTGTCCCTACTCTGCCCCTATTCTACACTCCCTTCAGCCACCTTCTCTGCATTTGCCCCTGCTCCCCATCAACTGAAAACACCTGGGGCCTCGCGGGACCATACGATCCCCCTGGAGTCTTATGGCCTTGCCCATTCCTCTTTAGCCCACTCGGTTTGTATTTTCCTCGGCCCGATGTCGTCGTCCCCCCTCCCAAATCCAAAAGCTGCCCACCTGGGGCCAGGAGAGGCCATGGTAAAAATAGTATTTCATCTGATAGTTCTCCGGCAGGCAGAGGAGATTGCAGTGCTGCATGTTCATCAGGTCCTCAGGCTGCAGGGGAGGACAGCGGGACGCGGTCAGTCCAGGGCTGCAAGTGACTAAGTAGGCCTCAGTCGGGGAGAACCCTGCTGCTCCCTGTCTGTCGCCTCGCCTCGCCTCGCCTCGCCTCCCCGGGGGCTGGGCAGGGCTGGGAGCATCCATCTGACTCTACGCCAGGCCTGTCCCGCAGTCGCTGGGCAACACGCGTCAGCGAGAGAGCTAGGAGGTTCTCGGAGCCCACCCCAGGGAGCCCTGCCATCAGGCAAACGAGAGATCTGCAGTCCCGGCTCCGCGCACCAGGTCGCCTGGGCAGGCTGCTTCAGCTTTACAGGTCCCGCGGCCGCCGGCGCGCAGGGCCACCGGGCCGGGTCCCTCGGGAGCATGCGCACGCGGCCAGCCAGCCCGGCGCCCACGCGGCGCGGACAGCCTCCCGCCCCGGTCCCTCACCCTTGCATTGCGGATGTTCATAACGGCGGCGGGGCTCGCGGGTCCCAGCGGGTCGTGAACGCGCAGTCAAGCTGCCACGGCGCTCCGAAGCAACGCAGGGGTGGCGGGGACCGGGACGGGGACTAGGGACGGGCTCGCGGGGGCGGCGGCGGAAGAGGCGGTGCACTCCGAGCCGGCCACCGGCCGGAAGTGCACGGCCGCCGGGCCCGCCCTCCCGGCAGCACCGCCAATATTCGAGGGTGGTCCTGCGCGCGGGGCGGGCTTGCCCACGAGGCGGGGCTAAAGCGCACACGAGCCAATGAGCGTGCAGTCCAGCGCGCTGCACGGACATGGGGGTGGGGCGAGGCGCTGGCCCGGCGCGCTAGTGCCCGCCCCGGCGCGGTTCGGTGGCCGCCCCTCTCCCGCGGGCCCACAGACGTGCGCACGTTGGCAGATGGAACAGCCTCAGCTTTATTTCGCGTCTCGGGGGGTGGGGACAACAGGCGGGGAGCTGGTGGGGTCAGAGTCTGGAGGGAGGCGGCTCAGCAGGGCGTCCAGCATCTCCTCGCACATGGCTAGGCACCGCGGCACGTGGAAGCAGCCTGCGGGGGAAAGGCGAGCGTGCGGGTTGGGAGACAGCAGTGGGAGCCGAATGCCACGAGCCCTGGCGGTCCCGCTCAGTTCCCCACTCACCTTTGAAAGGACCTCCCTTGATGGTGAGGGCGACCTTCCCCTCTCGATTCAGATAGCCAAACCACTCCCCGTACTCGGGATCACGAAACTGTAAGGAGACAGTAAGAGCTGGCGCTTGCAGGACCGACTCATCCAGATGCCATGCGTGGCCTGAGAAAAGGCGCTGGCTGCACCGCTACAGGAGGTCAAGCGGGAGTTGACCTAACGCTGTGTAACCGACTGGGGAAAGGGTTGCAGTCAGAGGGGTGAAATACTGTGAGATGGAATAAAAAAGAACCCTGCTCTGGAGCCGTAGGCCCTACCCTTACATTCTGTATCTGGATTGTACTGGGGATTACGCAGGTGTGCACCTTGTATAACTCTTTGAAGTGAATAGTTAAAATGGATACATTTAGTTTATGTAAATTGTTCTTATGCAATAGATTTAAAGAAAGAAACAAAAGAACCCTGATGGAGGCTTGATATACCAGGAAACTTTGTAACAAGTGATTCCGCTGGAGTTCTTGGTCTCAGCTTCACAAGCCTGTGGTCCAGCAGATAACTTTGTGCACGTGCCACCTTGAAGATCTGACTCCTGCCATTGCTTGCCTTGGGTTGCAAAGGCATCTCACCCTTCCTCTGCCCCGGTCCTGTCCAGTGCCCTGCTGCTTCGGCTGGCTGGGCTGACGCATTCTGCATTCCTTCCTTCTCTCCTGCCTGCACCACATCCACTACTGGTTCCACGGAGGCTTGTCAGTTCTCCCACACTCTCCAGGATGTACCAGAGGATGCTGGTCTAGGCCCTTCTCTTTCCTCCCCGGTAAGAAAGTTAAGTGTAGCCCATTCTCAGGATCAAACAAACTGTTGCATTAAAGTTCTCTATGAAAATGTCTCTTTAAATTGTGACTGGTATATTCTTCATGGGAGGTAAAACTAGTTTTGTATGCATTCATTCAAACTTTTGAGTAACACTTCCCATGCTCTTACTTTGAACTACTTGATCTGATACAGGAAGATAACGACCCAGCACCAAGGAGGAAGAGGAGGAGTTGGAAGGAAGGAAGGAAAGAGGGACAAAAGGAAGAAAAGAGAAAAAGAAAGAAGAAGGAGGAAGAACGAAGAAGAAGAAGAAAAGAAAAAAAAAAGAAGTAAAACCTTCCCATGTTGTTTTCCTGTCCAGCTTTTCTTTGGTTGTCTGAATTTTTGCTTCCTTTATTTATTTTTTTGGTTTAGTGGTACTGGGGTTTGAACTCAGGGCTTACATGCTTGCTAGGCAGGTGCTCTTACTGCTTGAACCACTCCACCAGCCCTTTGATTATTATGTTGCTCAGTGCATAATGATTTCGCTGTCGGTTGTAACACTTGTAATTTTTTGGTTCGTTTTGGTTTGAGACAGGGTCTCACTCTGTAGCCCAGGCTGATTCACACTCACCATCCTCAGTCTCCAGGGTGCTGCTGGGATTACAAGCATTTGCCACCACACCCAGCTCCTGTAAGTATTTGTCATCGCTATTGTGTTCAAATGTAGGTCTCATTTCAGTTTATACTTAAAGCTGGTGGCCTTTGATCCACATCCTTTGTGAAGATATTCGGTATTAAGACAGAAATGCAGGCCGCATGTTTGAAAGTAGCGGTGAGCACGTGAGATAGCTGAAGCTGCCTTTCTAACTGCACTGTATAGAAACACAGCTGGAATTTTGTTGCCTTCAGTCACAGTGGAAACTTCTAGATTTCAGTTACAAGTGAGTGCAAATGAAGCCCCAAGCCCCTGCTATAGTCCCAGGATTGCCACTAGAGGTAGTGGCAATGGAGACACACCACCAGTCTTCTTTTGTTCTCCTCTTGTGGGCCCCTGGCTTGGTTTCCTTCCTACTTCATGACTGATTCTTACCTCCACTGGCCTCTCCCATCTCCTTTTCTCTTCTGTACTCAAAACCTTAGTTTGTGTCATGCCTCAGGCCAGCCCAGACTTTTCCCTCTGAACTAGAGACTCAGAAATCCAACTGCTGCCCTAATACCCTCACTGCCAAGGCTTACCAGCCTCCTTCTCCCAAACCTATGAGGCTTGGTGGGCTCTAGCAGGTCAGACATGCTCCTGCCATGCCATGTGCCCTGCCCTGGCTGGGTCCAGTCTAGATTCTCTTCCCTCAGACACAAAGCCCTGCTGTGCTCTCCATTGCCTCAGATCCCTGCTCAGTGTCCCCACCCTGCTCACAGATCTTCCTAGCCCCCTCCACAGGAAAGAGCCCTCCCACTCCACTTTTCTGGCTTTATTCTTTTCCCTGGTTCTCATTACCATTTGCTTGCTTGTACTTCATTAAAGGCTGCCCCCCACAGAAATGTGAGCTCCAGGAGCTAGGGCTTCTGGGTTGACTGAACAAAGGGCACTCCTGGAACTCTCAGAGAGCTAAGGGACCACACCTGATGAGGGGGCTAGGAGGGGCTGGGGGAAGAGCCTCCAGGAGCCCAACCAGTACAGCCCCCATGCCTACCCTGCACACCTCTGCAGAGCCCCCTTCCCTGCTGCCTGCCATCTCCTCTACACTCCCCCTGGGCCTTGAGGGGACAAGGAGACAGCACTCACCTGGCGGAAGGTGTACTCAGCCACCTGGTAGAAGAGGTGCAGCAAGGCAGGGTCTCCACTGTCACTGTAACCCATGAGGAAGGCAATCATGGCTTCACTGTGTGGCCACCAGAGCTTCATGTCCCACTCCAGCTGAGAACAGAGCAGAGCAGAGTCAGGTAGATGAGAGCCCTGGGCCCCTGCAGCACCCTCGTCCTTTGGTCCCTCCTCAGTCTCCATCTCACTCAAGCACCGGAGCTTAATCATGAGGCATGGGCGGGGGCGGGGGGAGTCCTGAATAGCTTACTGATCTGGATATACCCCCTGCCCCCTGACAAGCCCCTTAAAAGGACAAGTTAGGGGGATGGGCTCTTCTTTACCCCTTGAAACTCAGTCTTGTCATTCTGTCTTTTAAGTCCCTTGGACACTGCTCCCACCATGGCTAGCACAGCCACCCTCTGCAGATCTCTGGTAGGATTAGGGCACAACCAATCAGAGGACTCATGGAAAGCAATTCTACTCCTGACTGCTGCCAAGTGAGGACCACCAAGAGCCTTTCAAAGACACAGGACTGCAGATGAAGGGGACATCAGCATTTGCACAGGCTCCCTAATGGCCTCTCTGTGACATGGGTTTGAGTGCTGGGCTCTAGGTTCAAATCCAGTCCCAGATTCCTATTCTATAAGGCTGATGACAGGGAAGAAAGCCTTAGAGCAGGGCTAGATTCCAAGGCCCTGGGCACTCCCACCTGGGCAGGGCAGAGATCATCAGCATCTTGGAAGTAGAACAGGCCTCCATGCTCAGGGTCCCATCCAGAGTGAAAAGGCAACAATAGAAACTTGTCAATAATGTGAGCTCGAAGTTTGGGGTCACCTTTCCTTCTGGCATGACAGAGCAGGAACCAGCCAGCTTCCAGTGCATGACCTGGTGAAGCGTCAGGGTAAGGCAGAACCAGATCCTCCCCCAGGCGTAGGGGTGTTCAAGCCCCTGGCACCTCCCTTTCCTCCCTCCCTAATGGTAAGAGCTGCTCTGGACTCCTCTCCCCCACAGGTTGTCCCCCTACACCCTGGCCTTCCATTCTTTCAGCTCTGCCTGGGCCCTGCTCCCCAGCCTTGGGAGGCCTATCTGCTCTCTTTGCCTGCTTCTTAGTGAAGGGTGGTGGGAAAGAGGCAGCTCCTCACAGCTGAAGCCCCAAGTTCAAGGCTGAGGCTCTTTCTCTGGGATGGGTCAAACCCACTCTGCCCCGTCACCTGGGTTCTGGTGTCTTCCCAGGCAACCAGAGAGTTCCTTGCCATCCTCTGACACATTCTCCAGAACAACTTGTCCATCCCTCTGCCAGAGAAGGGGCAGAAGAAGGCAGCTCTATTTCCAGCCCCCAGCCAGTCAACTAGAAAGATCCAGCCTCAAAAATCCTTTCCTCCCTCCCTTCCCAGCTAGCTGCCCACCCACCTGCCCAGAGTAACATTTCTGGAGGGGCTGATTCATTCCCACGGGCCTAGGAGGCTCTAAATCCTTGCCTCAGGCCTGGGCCTCTCAAGGAGGAATGGTAAAAACATTGACTAGAGACAAGGGCAGACTTGGGTGTCCACAGAGGTCTGGGAAGGACAGGTATCAGGTCCCAGATCCTGGGTGCAGGACCTACCTGCTGGAGGCTCTGGCACCTTCCCTTCAGCCCTCGGCCCCACCCAGCCCTGCAGGCTTGTGATCCACCTTCCCAAGGGCCCTGGGCTGCGCCTCACCAGGATGAGCTTCCTGGGTCTTCCTGTCTGCAATGCTGGAGAGCAGGCAGGAGCAGGGAGAGGCAGAGTGGGGTTCATCCTGCCCACCAGCTCCCCAGGCATCCCCTACCTGGACGTGCTGCAGAATCCTCTGGGTGCACCAGTCCCCCAGCTCCTCATATTTGCCAGCCAGCTCCTCATCCGCCTCCCCGAGCTGCTCCACCAGGTTAAGCAGCATCATGGGCACTGCCAGGGGCTCCGCGGCCGGGGTCCCCGAGAGCTGGGGCCGGCCCAGCCCAGATGGGTCCTTCTGTACCCAATGCACGATCTGATCCATCATCTCCACTGCTTCGCGCTGTGGGGAGGGGGGAGACCGAGGTGGAGCTGGTGCCTCCATCCCATCTGCCCTGTCCCCAGGACCCTGCAGGGGAAGGTGGAGTCCTCTCCTGCGCTCCAAGGACACTTTCTGCAAATGCTACTCATGGATTGGCCCTACAGTCCGTTAGGTGCTGGGGGTGCAGACCACTCCCAGGCAGTGAGTGAGGTCAGGGTCTGGCAGCACAAAGGGCCCAGGAAGGAGGGAGAGGAACCCTCTCTGCCCAGGATCCTTGTGGTGATGCGAGAGGGGTGGCCGAGGTGGAGACTTCTGGGGGAGAGGGGAGGAGACAGTCATAGCCACAGGATAACAACACCATGCAGTAATGTGGGGTGGGAGCCCCCGGCCCAGAGATAGACAGGAATGGATGGCTGGGACAGCCATGGCAGGGTCCCAGGGCATGTCTTCAGCGTGCACCCTTAGCAATCTCTGGCAGCTCTCGTCCCGTTACACACCTGGTAATGAACTTCCCCTGTTACCCTCCACAACTCATTCATGGCCATGGTGTAAAAGCACTCGCTGAAGATGGTCCGCTGAACCTTGACAGGTCGGCCATCCTGAGTCAGCACAAAGGCACACTTCTTGCCAGGAGGGGCCACCCGGGCATAACGCAGCAAAAACTCGCCACCTGGTGGTTGGGGAGGGGCTAGCATTGCTAGGACTCGGGAGAAGCCCCTTGCCCCCAGCCTTTGAACCTCCCGGAGCTGCTTCTAGACCCCTCTAGAAAAGAGGCACACAGGCCCTATTGAATAAGAACAGGTGAAGCCCCTGAGAAGAAGCGGGGCGGAGGAGAGCACCTGCTTTTGCTGACTCCAGAATCTCAGATTGGTGGAAGCGCTGGAAATTGCGATACAAGCGACAATACATCCATACCTATTGGGGGACAGAGGGAACATGGCTTAAGGGGGGTGGGGAACAGCAGGAATGGGGGAGTCCTAGGTGTCCCTATTGTGTGAAGAAGAGTAGAGTGTCGAGATGACAGGCCCTGTTGTGGGGTACGGACAAGTTGCCCTGGGGGAGCTGTAAGGCCTACCTGCCTCGCTTGCAGCCAGACGTATTTGAGTTTGTCATACACCTTCCCACTGCGGCCAAGGCATGTAAAGAAGCCCCTGTGGGACGTGCAGGGTTGGTAAGGGCGAAGGAGCCCTCCCTACCGGTGCCCTACCCCTGCTCCCCGCCTGGGGCCAGCACAGCTGAGAGTCGCCTGGGTGAGGTAGGCGCCCGGAACGGGCAAAGACCCTGGCGGGGCAAGTCACCCGTGCTCCTGGTCACGGGAGTGCTTCATCCAGAAAGCCACCACTCCGTCCAGCTCCTGCTCTACACGCTCCTTCCAGACCCGAAGCGTCTCCCGCTCCTTCTCCATGTCCTGGGGGGAGATTCGGGGCTTACAGGCGCAGCCCCCCGCGGGGACCGCCTCATCTCCCCGGGACTTACCTTCCTCCGCGGGCTCAAGTGGGCCCCCAGAGCTACCTGACCCGGTCCCTCCGTGGGACCCCGTGCTCGGAACCCAGCCCTCGGGAATGCGCTCCCACCTCTGCGCGGCCCCTCCGCTGGCCTGCCGCGCTCGGGCACTCGGGCTCTCAACTCCCTCTCCTCCAGGAAACCACGCGGAGTTAGTGGCGGTCCCGTGATTGTCACTCAGCTGACCAAGCCGCGCGCCCCACCCACCCGCTCCTCCCCAGGGTTCCTGAGGGCCCGAGGCGGGGGCCGCGGTGGGGGGCGGGGTTTGTAGCCCCGCCCCCGCTTATTTGCACCAGTGACCCTCAGGCCCGCAGTCTGGTGGTGACCTACGATGGCCTCTGCTGGGCCCCATCGAGCTCAAGATCCTCCTTGTGGGAAATGCTGGGTGAGCTAGCAGGAGAGTTTGGAACCATGGGGGAGGGGAGGGTGGGGAGGGGTCTGACTCTGAGCTGGGCAGCTGAGGCCTGTGGTCCATGCAAGTGTGTGTGGCTGGAGTGCAGCAGGAGAGGGGACAGCTGGAAATGCCTCAAGCCAGAGACTTTTGACTCCACAAGGTGGGCAGGTCCTCTCCGTTGAGTTAGCTCTCTAGCCACTTCGGCAGGCAGTATGGGTAGCCATTGGCCCTGACTTCACCCCAAAGGATGCTGCTGGAAGGCCAGACAGTAACTGCAGGTCAGCATGGATGGACGCTTCTCCAACTCTCTGGGCCTGTGCTCCAGCCACCCAGTCTGGTTGGGTTGCTCAATGACTGTCTGACCCCAAGGCAGACTGGCTGCACTGTTCCCCACTCTCTCTTACTGTGCACCCTCTCTCTCATTGTAGAATTATGTGGAGGTGGAGTCCCAGGAGCCAGAATGTGTGAAGTCCCTGGGTTCCTAGCGTGACCTAGGGGAGCTTGGACATCTGGAAGGATGGATTACAGCCCAGGAGCATAACTAGGCTTTTTTTTGCCTCAGCAGTGCAGCTCTGAGAGATGGCCAACGCAAAGAGGTTCCAGTCCCCGAGCATGGCGCTGTACTGGGACTCCCACTGCTGTGTACTGGCCTTTGGTGTCACAGTGGCTGCCTCCTTCCAGATTATAGCTGCTTGGCTCCTGCCACAGGCTGACCCTCCCAACCCCAAACAGTTCCCCTTTGTGGTGCTTGGGAATAAGCCTGGTCCTCATGGCTGGCAGCTAGGTGTTTACTGCAGCTGCTCTAAGTTCATATCTGCCCTTAGCTGAGCTCATCCCATCTAGGCTTGTGCGTGCCTGTCTTGCTCACAGGCGGGTCATTACTTATCAGCCCATACCCAGTCTCTCCTCTCATGCCCTGATGCCCAGCCAAGAACAAACCTTGGTATGCTCCTATGGGTGGTGCACCTGTCCCGGGTCCAGTGGACAGGGCCGCAGCCAGTCCAGAGGTGTAGAACTGGCAGAGCTTTCCCCAGCAGCTCAGGAGCAGGGCGAGACAGGGCAATGATGCCTCTCCCTTCCCTCTCCCAGGAAGCTGGGGAGTAGCCTGCTCAAGCTCAAGCCCAGTATTTTGAGACCAATACCAAAGATACAGCCGGAATGGTCTTTGCCTTCCAGAGTGTGACAAGGCGGGTGAGCATGGGGAAGGCAGAGGACGAGTGGCCCCATAGGTGCAGCTACAGGAGTAAGGCAGGAAGAACCCTTGCACCTCCCTCATCCTCATATCTGACAAATTGGCACAGGCCCCTCCCCTTTTGGGGTCAGCCCCACATGGGCCCTTCTCCCCAGCTAGCCCATGCTCTCCTACCCCTGGATATTGCTCCCACAGCTCCCACCTAAGGGACACTTTCCTGCCCCCTCCCCAGGCCCAAGGCAGGCTGGCTAAATTGTTACTCTCCTTGCCAACTGGGCACCCTTGATAAACCCGAGGCCCCAGAGGGTATGGACTGCCTGTGAGGCCACTCTTCTGAATTCCTGATGCCAGAGCTGGGCTCTGTCTGAGGCAGGTCAGAGTTGGTATGGTGGGGAAACTGGTGTCAAGACCGACATGCTAGGTGTGTGTGTGTGGGGGGGGGGACACGGTGACCCCCACACAACAGTAGACACTGCTACAGTAGTGTGAGCATCAGTTAAGAGCTTTCCAGGGGAGGTTCACTGCACTGGATCTTTGGGATTTTTTTTCCTTTTTTTCTTTGGTGGTACTAAGGTTTGAACTCAGGGCTTCATGCTTGCTAGGCAAGAACTGTTACCACTTGAGCCACTCCTCCAGCCTGAATTGGGCTTTCTTTTAGTCACCAGCACACATCTGTACACACAGCAGCACTGTAGGCCAAGAGATGGAGGCAGTGTGGTACCAGAGTGGGTGAGAGGAAAGGTGGCAGCGGGGTTAGCAGGGAAGAAGTGAGGGATACTGAGGAAATGTCGCCCACATCCCTCTCTCTAGCACAGACCTGGAAAGGCCTGTAGGGACAGTGCAAGGAGGCATGCTGCTCCCTTTGGCTTGCTGGCATCAAGAGGTGTGCACGCTGAGCCCTGGTCACAGGCCTCAGCTGCTTTGCCTACAGGCTTTCTTGGCTTCCTGCTGTTACCACTACGTATTAATTCAGTCCATCCTATCCCAGCTGTGCTGCCCAACTCAGTTGCTGGACTGCCAGTTTAGTTCAATAGCTCTTTCCCCTTTGGGGGCCAATCTCACGTGTAAGAGAAAGACAGCTCATTCTCACAGTACCCACCGGTGCCCACGTGTGCCAGGCACAGATCTGTCCGGCTGGGGCTGACGCTCTGGGGAACCCGAGTTTGTGGTAGATAGAAAGCGTATGGCATTTGTGACTCGGCCCTTGCCCCTCAACCCACCCAAGGAAGCTGACCGCTGATGACCTGCCAGGCCTTTACCCTGGTGGGTGCTCTGACCTCTAGTAGGGGAGGGAGGGAAGCAAGTGCTTTGAGGCCCCTCAGCCCTTGACCTGTGAGGAAGCTGCCATGGGAGCTGCTGCTAGCTAGCCAGCAGCCTAGCTTATTCCAAAGGCCACAGTGGGGGACCTTGCTCTGGATTCTTCCATATTTTCAAAGGACAACTGGAAAGCAGAATTACTTACCTGTGATCCATGGGAACAAGATCCAGGGATCAAGTGAGTCTTGGGCAGGTCCCAGTTTCACCCCTCCAGACACCATGGAAAACCCAGACACATGTGACACTAGTTTATTTCAAAAAATGTCTTTTAATTGTTCAAAATAGCACAAAACAACATCGCACTATGGTAATATTGAGTCACAGGGGTTACTCTACAATAGATGAAGGGGGGGAGGGGAGGTGGTGCACTGTTCTCAGAACAAGAAATCAAAGGGTGCTTGGGAGAAGGGACTGGGGTAAAACAATGGGACCAGGCGAGTGGGCTTCAAGGTGACTAAACGTGACATTTTCCACAGAGAAATATACTATAATACAACAAACCAGAGGCCCCAGAGGGTGCAAGTTCTTCCCCGCCAGGTCTCCAGGCAGAGATGGGTGGACTGAAAAGGCTGGCGGTTCATTTTAAATCCTTCGGTAAACCTTGTAAACCTTGTTCATTGCCTAAATCTTCGTTGGGGACAAAAATCCAAAGCTGCCCCGAACCTATGTCTGGCCCTTAGGGGGAGGATGGGCCCAGCCAGGAGACAATGTTTCAAAATTCATAGGCCTGTGGCTGGCACTGGTAGCCCCAGCCCCCTGTGGGTGACACCATGTACTCACTCCCCCCGGGGTGCCGCCAAGGTTTAGTTCTCATCGGTTCCCCACCCCCGCCGTGGCTACAGCAGTTCAGAACAGTCAGTCTCTGAAACAGTGATGCTGAGGGAGAGGAGACCCACCCTCAAGCCCAAGCCTCTAGATGTGAAGTGCTCACCCATGGGAAGTGAGGTTTGACAGTTCATTCTTTGTCCCAGAGGCATGGGGACAGGTAAAGGGCAGGGGCTAGTAATAGGAAATTGGGCTAGGCAGCAAATACCAGGTCCCACATGGGAGATTCCCTCTCCTGCCCCAGCTGACCCCAGCTTTCCTCCAGAAAAGATCCCTGCCAAGGATTAGCCAAAGAGGAAAAAGAAAAAAGGTAACACATTCTGTACACAGCTAAACAACAAAAAAGGGACAAAACCCCACACACTAAGGCTAAAATTACAATAAAAATGTTAACTTCATCATTTTCAACTTAAAAAATACAACAAATGCAGCAGTTGGTGATGTGGCCCCCGGCTTTAAGCCAGGCAGGCCGAAGCTGGGCTCACTGGGAGCTACTCTGTGCCCATCGGGAGGATTTCACAGCCACCGTTCAGGCCATCCCCAGGCTCCGTCTTTCCCTTCTTTCTTTCTCTTTATAAAGGGAAGAAGTGGGTGAATAAAGGCCTCTGAGATGTGTAAGCTTCCCGTGGGTTTGCTGGGCGAGACAGGGCTGGCTAAGCCTGAGGGACAGGAGGTGGCTGGAAACATGAGGGTAATAACGAAACAAAATAGTAGAACCAGACAAAACAGGATGGGGCACCCAGGAAAAGTCACTCTGAAAAGGAGGCTCGGGGGGTTGGGGGAGCAACTCATTTTCTCAGCTCCTATGCACCCCCCCGCCAGCCCTTGACTGCCCCTCAGGCCAAGAGTGATGAACCACAAGACATGTACAGGCTTTGAAGTATGGGTGCTATCTCCTTTGAGTCTCAATTTCTCTTCCTCCAAGGTCTCTGAATTCTCCAGTCTCACTCTGTCTAGGAGTGGGTGCTGGGTGGGGAGAAGGAAGGATGGAGCATAACTCTCACTTGCTCACTGCTCTTTCCAATCTGCATTCTGCTTCCTCCCAAAAGCAATGGTAAAATGTGCTTTCTTCAGATTATTGTAAAAGAGAGAGAGAACATGAATAATAGGCCAGTGACGGGTGAAGGGTGAAGTGCAAAGGCCAGGTGGTCAGGGCAGGAGCAGGCCCAGGCGGGTAGTTCCTGAGGCAGAGGGTCTGGAGAAGAATCCAAGTGCCGGTGAGCTTCCTCACTGACCATCTGCCTTAGACTTCTTTGGAGCGGATTTCCTTGGAAGACAGAAGAGGGGTAAAGTTAGCGAGGGGCCTAATGGCACTGCAAGAAGCGTGATGCAGAACTCCTCATGGACCCACCGTAGAGCTAGTGCCTGGTGCTGGTAGTCCCCAGCTTCCTGTGGGGG